GACCAAAAGCAAATTCGGTAGGGTTACAGGCGCCAGAATGAGTACGCTGATGGTACGTGGTATGGCTGGCCACCCGTCATCAGCGTTCTCATCCTGTCGTCTATATCCTTATCGAAATGGAACGTTCTAGGTTGACTTGAACAAAAATTGTGAATTTACGAAGGAATTCTTATTTCACTCACGTCCAGCCCTCTGTGGACGGAGTCCAGTCCTGCCACCTATCATAAGTGTTCCCATCCTTCAACTGCACTCTTATATGTAGAATCTAATCGCTCTAGATCCAAGAGATCCAGAAGAGGGGACAGGAGTTATGAATTTCCTATCGAGAAAAACACACCGACAAACCAACAGACACACTTATCGCGTTATATATAGTAGGATAATGAACACATACGATTGACAATTCTTACATGAGGCTTGATTCGATGCAATCCCATATCGAAGCTTCCTCCACCTAGTCCTATCGCAAGCACTTGCTTATCCTTGTTAGTTTCATGCAAAGAAAGCGACGGCATCACAAAAGTTGCAGCCACCATTGAAGCGATCTAGACATCTCCATATCGGAAGTTCGATGAAGCTTGAGTACTTCAGGAACTTTTTTCGGAATATTGTTGTTTAAGCTAACAAGAACATTCGAGAAAGCTTGCTAATAGCATGGTACTCGATTTATTGTTTCTGCATTTATTTACTGTGGACAGGGTTTATATATGAAAAGGATAAAATAAAGTTCAGAACATATACCTACATATTGTGTAGTAAAGGTGGTATGATCGATCAACCATGACCGGAAGTCAGGACAAGGAACTTCATATGAACCTTCTCTACCTGAATGTATTGGAGATTAAGGCCCTCTATTTGGTCTCTCATCAGGGTGTTAAAAAGGCAAAGATTAAATTCGACAACATTCCTCCTGTAATGTTCGTAGAAGTACTTGAAAAAGACGAAACTCATTGTACACGCATAACATATTCGAGCACTGTATGATATGGCATGACCAGGTCGCGGTTCATGCTCAACCTTTCCGTTTTCGGCTTTGAAGTGCGCAGCGAGCCGCAGAGGGGGTCCCTAAGGCTGAGTTTGACATAGTTCTCGATGAACTGCAACTGTAAAATGGCCGAACTCAAACTATTGAGGAAGTACTTGCCAAATAAGGGTGAGGATTTTCGTTATTAAAGGGTCCAGTAAGCAACGAGAGAGTATTGAATTTTCAACGCGCGTACAATCTGGAGGTGTCCTTGCACACCGATTTTATGGAAACCTTCAGGATATTAAAAAAAACCACGAAACTTCTAACCTCTCCCATTCGTGGGCCGGAACAAGCATCGCTCGTTTGGAATGCACGCGGCTAGTAGGACTATTAGTAGGACCAGCTGACCCTGACGATCTACTCTACTTCA